CATACAATATTATGTGTTCAATAGGAATATGGTGAAGTACCTGATATATCTTTCATGTAGTAATATTGTTGTCTCTTGCTAGCCTCACATCCCAAAACCTCTCATAGTTACATAAATCTAGATCCACCTATTAAAAAGTTACTAAATTGTTTCAGATAATAACTCCATTGATGGTAATTCCTAATGGTACAAAATATAAGCTCAACAAAAAGAAGAATGGCAACACCTCTCCACCATCACCGAGAACAAAAAACTGCTCGTGCTCAAACGGAGACATTGTACCAACATCTGTTTCAAATAAGAATCTGTGAACATGCAAACATCATATGCATCATCAAAAAATAAGTTTGCGCCAGTTAAATTCATCTTGCATGACAAACATAAAAGCAGACACACTGACGATAATTTAACAGATTGAGTTGGTGCCAAATATATGAAGCCAAAACGCTCAACTCAATCAAGGAGAACCCAAGCCAGTTCCAATATGTAAAGGTGCAAAATCAATTTCATCCACAAAACAAACTCCTAAATGAAGAATTAAGCAAAAATACGCATCTAAAGTAAATTCTATATTGCCAGTTGAATCAGTTTCCTCAGAAGCATCATTTACCTACTCACCAAATTCTGAGGACCCCAAATGCTCTAGATCCAGTTTCATTGTCTTTAGACTCTCAAGATATTAATCTCTCTATTCTTCTTAATGCCATTCATGTCATCCTCTTAAGATGACCAAGAAGTCAAAATTAACAATTAGAAGAGTAAGAATCATATTTTGTTTTCCTTACTGTTAATTTAATAACCTTCAGATAACATAATAACGTGTTCACAAAAGGCCAGAAACTGCTTAACTACAAACATAAGTTGTGATTGATTAACTTCATTCAATATATCCTTTGCCAGAGCATTTTATCATGTCAATACACAACTTCTATATTTTAAATTACAAGATGCAGACCACATAATCTTCAGCTATAAAAACAAAAGAGTCGAATAATAAGAGCAGTTGTCACCTGAGTAAAAACTAATAAAAATATGAGATTATTCCCTGCATCTCTTCTTCTATCAATCATGACGGGCTGCACCAATTCGTTTCGTTTGAGAAATGGCAATATAATGTTAGTAATACTAAAGGAAGATTTCATTCCAAATGCATTATTACAAACTCAGCAGATAGAAACGTAGAAATGCACCTGATCAAGTCCTTCGCGATTAGAAGCCCATTTTTTCCCCTTTTTTGGCTCAACAATGACAGCCGCTACTTCATTGGTTGGACAAAGAAATAAAAAATGTTTTTTACTACCACAAATCTATTTTCCCCTTTCTACTAACAAATAATATGTACGGAAACCATCAATTATAAATCCAGAATTTTAAACTTCCCAAATTAGCAAAAATATGACTACTATTATAATACGAATTGAGGAATCTTTTTCCACAAATTCCCAAATACTAATACTTCTAGAATTTCCATAGTTTCTTATCTAGCTAAAGCTTAAACTAAGAACCATTAAGCCATGCATCATAAAAGCTATCAACAAATCATAAAGATGCTTAAAAATGAGGAAAAAGAATGGTCAAAGTTACCACATAAACTTCGAGCTAGAAATCTACCACCACAAAAACGAAATATAAAGAAAACAATAATTTTTACATGAAAAAAACAGAGGCGCAAATAATCACCAGAATTTCGACTTGGCTCGGACATCATAAGTCGCCCATAGCTTCATCCGGTAGGGTGCTCATCGGCCTCGGTCAGTAAAGCTCTTCCGCTCACCTGGTACTGGTAAAACTGTAAACGACGTTAGTTCAGTCTGTAATTGTAGACTCTCGAATATGAAGATGAAGAGGAAGATCAGACACTCTTCCAAAATTATTTAAAGTGCGAAGAAGCTATTTCTATTGATTTTATGGCACTAAAAGATTACCTGGCCGAGTGATTTTCTCGCGAGACGGCCTTTGGGTTTAGGGTGGACGGGTTGAATACTTCGCGATGGAGGCGTTCGATGTGGTCCGATCTGGATGGCGTGCGGTGTTTGCGATAACTGCAAATGGCTGAGGTGGTGGTGGTGGTAGGGCAGATCTTGGGTTTGGCTCAAAATTCATGAGATAAAAATAAAATGGCAGATCTTACAGGGTTGAAACTGGAGAGGACACCAAGGTTGCGTGTTTGGTTTGGATTTGGATTTAACAACTACACTGACAATTTAACCATAACAAACCACAAATCCCGGAATGTGATCAACCACGCAAGCGCAAATGTCCATTCGCAGGTACGAAGAACAGATTTTCGGGAGCAAAATCCTTAAATACGGCGGGAGAAAGTAGTAAATTGCAGTGGCAACAGATGTAAAAAGTGAGCAAAATTGGGGGTATCTTAGGAAGAAAAATTCGCCACATGTCGAGCTCTCAATCCCTCACACTTTTTCATATATGTATAAGGGAGATATATTCGGTTCATTTATTTCGGACATTTTTATGTTCGAAAACCGACACATATCAAAAACGTATAATAACAAAATGAAAATCGACTACCGATCTACTCTGAAAAAAAATCGAACCAAAATTTTCGATTCGGTTGATTTTAATCAATTTTTGCACACCCCTAAGTGTGATTCGGTTCGATTTTTCTAATACAAACAAAAATTAAATCGATTTTGGTTTTGTATCCTCTTATACTACAATGCAAATCAGTTTTTATTTTCATATATTTATTTTTAAAATTTTCTCGATTTGGTGCAATTCTGCACATCACACTAAATTGAAATAAATATATATCAACACATAGACATAATTGAAAAATGAGTCGAATCATGCATTTTGTTGCGGTTCGGTTCAATTTTTTTGTATAGAAAATAGTCTATATGTTCCCGTGCACTACTATGTTACGATAATGTTATTTTACTATGTGTTTTGTTTTTTTAGTTCGATGTGGTTTTGCATCAACCCGTAGTGTTGTCGACACTCATGTAAAATTATCTAATAGTAAAAATGTTATGCTTCTTACAAAATTATGAAAATTATCTTTTTTCATATTTTATGTTTTATATATATATATATATATATAATTGCTAGCAAAGGAATTAATAAAAATATTTGATTTTCTTCTAAACGACGTTACATTTGTATTAATTAAGTGTATATATATATATATATATATATTATATAACAACTACTGCTAACAAATCATAAAGTCACATTTATTCTAATCTAAAACTTTTTTATTTCAAATTATTTATTTGAAATTATTATTTATTTTTTTTATTTTAACTCAATAAGCAAGTTTTTTTTATTAATATTAGTTAATCATTTTAAATGATATAACCAAGCCTGTTAAAATTTTTGTACCCAATTTCTATAATAATAATAATAATAATTTCAATATTGTTTTATCTAATCAATTGTTTATAAGTCAACAAAGATTGCAAAATGATAATATTACAATTGATATAAAAATTAATATATAAGTTAATTGTTTATATTTGTATCATTCATTTTTACTAATGATAAAATTTATATAATATGATATGCTCATTATTTACTTATGATTTCAACACACACGCACATATAACATATAAATTTATATTTTCACATGTGCATGTGCACAAGATCGAATATTAGTTTGCCTAAATAAATCAATAATAAAACGATAATTTTGGTCTAGGTTTTTTATATATTTTTAGAATATGCACTATTTAACATAGTTGATATTTGACGTAAATATTTTATTTGTAATTTTGATAAGTAGACATTTATTTTTGTCTCATTTTCTCTTTCCCAAATCAAATTTTACCATACAAAACTGATATCATTTATTCTCGTTTATTTTATTTTATTAAACTCTATATTTTTTTAATCTTATTTTAAAAGTTGATATTTTTTATATCTACATTCAATTTTCAAATATAATTTATTAAAGTAGTCATCTTTTGACGATACTAAAATAAAGGATATTGTCTGAATAGAGTATTTATATTGTTTTTTATTAAACTGCAAGCAATAATAATTCTCCAAGGAACAAGGATATTGTCTGAATAGAGTATTTCTACTATTTTTTATTAATCTGCAAGCAATAACAATTCTTCAAGTCAGTTTCTGATGGTGCGTTGACGTGGCCGTCAGGGCCAGGCGGCCCTGACCCGGCACGATCAAACTCGTTGACCACTAAGCTGCGCCCAGATCGAATTTTCGACGGGCCGTTTCAGGGTCATTATTTCATGACCCTTGCCCGGCGGAACGGGCCGACTTGTTTTTTTTAATATTATTATTATTTTTTTTTCCTTTAAAAAACGACGACCCGACCATGACCCGCCATGGACTCTGCTCGGCCCGGTCTGGTTAACCGGGTCATGGATCCGACACGAGCATAGATCCGTGCCCGTTCAGAGTCCATGAAACACAACCCGGAGGCCCGGCCTGGTCGTGACCCAGTTCGAGTTTTGGCCATGTCTAGTAGTAGTGGTGCGTGGGACTGTTGGAGTGAAAGTAGATTTTTTTGGTTATTATTAGAGGAACGTTAAATTAGCCATGCACTGGAGCCTTATTGAACCAAGTTGAAATCAGCTCGTTAATCAAACAATTTCATGTTCGCTTGTTAACTAAATGATCTCAAGTTTGCCTCGTTTGTCATGTGTCAACAAAGCTATAGAAAATTACATGAAAAATTCATATCTTTACGCATTAACAAAGTAAGTTCACAAACTACTCATTTTGTTTAACATATCTAGTTACTATCAGATCCAACCGTTGCTTGTTTAGTATTCTCAATCTATCTGCAGCAAAATTGAGTTATACGGTCTGCAAACATTATTTTCAAGTGCAATAACACACAAGCTTCGGGCGTTCTCTGTGATAAGAGGGTGCCACAAAAGCTAAAAGGTAAGTTCTATAGGACGGCGATTCGCCCGGCGATGCTATACGGTGCTGAGTGT